GGTTACTTATCTTTACTTTACACAAGGTCTGAGATTACACGTCAGAGTCCTGGACTCTGAGTCCTGGACTCTGAGTCCTGATCCGTCTGAAGGAACTAATCCCAGAGTTGTGTCTGACAGGATGAGTCAGACTTTTATTTTGAAAGGTTTGTTTGAACAGGACTCAGATTATTTCACTCCTGGTTTTTATTCTGGTTCAGTCCAAACTAAAACTGGATCAGACTCCTGGATCAGGATCAGACTCCTGGATCAGGATCAGACTCCTGGRTCTCAGAGCTGGGCCCAGAATGCAGTGGAGGCAGGAGCTCAGCTGTTTGTCATCAGGAACCTGTTGACTGAGTTGTGTAAATGTTGTAAATATAAAGATTTACTCCTCAAAGCTTCAGCTTTACTGATCAATGACTGTTTCATAAACCCCGCCTCCAGCRTGTGACTGACAGCTCAGTCAGCCAACAGCTGCCTCTTTATAAAGTCCACACTGTCCAGGGTCCTGGAGATGAGCCAGAATCAGGACTGGGTCAGACACCAGGACCAGGACTACACAGACACCAGGACCAGGACTACACAGACACCAGGACCAGGACTGGACCGTCCCTCACTCGTCTTCATCCCAGTGTTTCTTCTGTCAGGGTTCTGAGYCGGTCTGGTCCAGTCTGGTTCTGTCACATTCCTGTTCACTTCATTTAGTCCTTAATGTGACCACTAAGACCTGACACCTGATGATGAAGATGAAGATGAGGATGAAGATGAGGATAATGATGATGAAGAAGAAGAAGAAGATTATAAGGATGATGATGAGGATAATGATGATGAAGAAGATGATGAAGATGAAGAAGAAGATGAGGATGAAGAAGAAGATGAGGATAAAGATGATTAGGATACTGATGATGATGATGAACATAATGATGATGATGAGGATGATGATGAGGATGAAGAGGATGAAGCAGATGATGATGAAGATGATGATGATAATGATGATAAAGAAGATGATGATGATGATGATAAAGAAGATGATGATGATGATGAGGATGATGATCATGATGATGATGATGATGATGTTTATGATGAAGAAGATGATGGTGATGATGATGAAGAAGAAGAAGATGATGGTGATGATGATGAACATAATGATGAGGATGATGAGGATGATGATGATGAGGATGATGATGATGATGAACATAATGATGAGGATGATGATGATGAGGATGATGATGAGGATAAAGATGATTAGGATACTGATGATGATGAGGATGAAGAGGATGAAGAAGATGATGATGAAGATGATGAAGATGATGATGATGAGGATGAAGAAGAAGAAGATGATGATGAAGATGATGAAGATGATGATGTCTTCAGGTTCAGGTCAGATGGTTCTTATTTAGACTTCACTGACCCCTGCAGGTGGATCAGGACTTCCTGCTGGAGGCTCCTGGGGAGCAGAGAGGAGCTGGTTGGGTCAAAGTGTCTGCTGGCCATTAATGGTCAGAAAGAATCAAACCCTGAYGGTTAATGGGATTACTGGTCAGTTTGCTCCCTGCTCCTCTGTTCTGAGGAACCAGTTGTGTTTTTGATCAGAACTCAGGTTTTACTTCATCAACACAGTTTACTGATGAGAACCTGAAGTTCTGACAGTTTGGATCAGTTCTACTGAAGCTGGTCCTGTGAGGACATGAGGCCGTCCAGAGATGATTCATCTAATTAATCCTGATTAAACTGACCCTCTGACACACACACACACACACACACACACACACACACACACACACACACACACACACAC